CCCGCGCCTCTCCACCACCTCTGACCCGTCTCTGCCCCACCTCTGCCCCGCCTCTCCCCCGCCTCTGTCGCGCCTCTCTCCCGCCTCTGTCCCACTTCTGCCCTACCTCTGCCCCACCTCTCCCCCACCTCTGCCCCACCTCGGTCCCCACATTGGCCTAGCTCCACTCTCTTCTCCCCTGCTCCCACCTGTGCCCACCTCTGCCCACTTTTGCCTTGATCAAGGCTTCTCTGAGCTTCGGTTTCCTCATCAGTCAACACAAACATCAGAACCTTCCTTGTGTGGTCGTAGGGGCAGGCCCAGGTTGTGAAGAAGGTCAGGGTGCTGGAAGATGGGCCCAGGGGCGTTGGGAGGGATCAGGTGTCTGGAGGCTCTGGACTGACCTGTGACTTTGAATCTGACCACCAGGGGGTGCTGTGGCCCAACGGAAGGCCCAGATGAGGGTGTCTTCGGGGCTGTGGTGGCCCTGCTGGGTGTGGGGTGGGGAGGGGAGGAGGGCCTGGGGGCCCAGAAGGGGAGTCAGACTTTCCCCTAGTCCAGGAGCCCAGAGCCCAGAGCCACAGCGGAATCCACTGCTGAGTGTGATCCCTTTCCCCTTGTCCCACCCCCTCCCAGAAAGTCCACGGTGGGGGTGGGGGACAACCAGTGTCCCGGATGGGCATTGCCCTGGAGGCCCAGTGCAGACCTAAGTGGGATTCTTCGAAAGCTTGCCTCTGCTCCCTTCTTGGCTGGTCCATGGGCCCCATTCCCTGGGGACTTGCTAGGATCTGAGTCCCTGTCCCCTCGGATGAAGGGGTGGTCTGTGGGTGGCAGGACTCTGCCTGGCCTGCCTTGTCCACCACGATGTGCCCAGTGAAAGCAACACAAAGGCCAGGGGAAGACTCCATGGCCCGCACGCTGAGAAGTGGGTGGAAGCGGGAGCCAACCGAAGGAGTGAAGGGTCTAGGATTTTCAAAGGAAACTCGGCCATGCCCTGGCCAGGCACTGACTGACTAGCCATGGTCAGCAACTTCTCTGCTGGGGCTGGAGGGTGAACTGGGGGCGGCTGGGAGACCCTAGCCTCCACTGAGGGGACCCTAGGTCCATCAGAGCTGGCCGGCCTACTTGGCTGCAGTTGTCTCCCCTTCCCCTCCACCCTCACAGCCCACCCTGCGCCTCCCTGCTTCTCTGTTCATTTGCGCCTCCTGCCCACGCTGGCATTTCTGAGAAGCCTCTTTCTCCCTCAAGGAACTGTAGGGTACAGGGACCAGGGCCCTAAAGCAGTAAGGGAAGCGTGACTTCAGCGCTATGAGGAAACAGGCGTAGGAACAACTAGTTCTTCCAGGTGGGAGGTGGGGTGTGTGAATGATTGAAAAATGATTGAAATGACAAATATTTTGTTATATACATTTCATCACAATTAAAAAAAAGGTCCGCAGCCAATGGCTGTGTATTGGACTTAGTGACACATTTTAATGACTAGAATTTGGCAGAAGGGACAGTGACTTCTAAGACTGGGTCCTAGAAAGCCTTGTGGCTTCCTCCTGACTCTCTGGGGAGTTGGCCGCCATGTTGGGAGGACACTCAAGCAGCCTGAGGAAAGCCCACCTGC